ATGTCCCACATGTGGTGTTAGTCATACACCTACGGCAAACACAGACGGATCTCCTTCTTCCTTGCCAGACGAACGACAGCCACAGCAGCCTGGGGAGTACATGGGCTTCCATATGAACCATCTGCAGAGCGCTGTGCTGATCGTTTATCACCGTCAGGACTAGCTTTTGCAGACGAAATCCTACACCAGCTAAACACCCTTGCTTAGGACAAACCCTCCCCGTCGTCGTCTGCGCATAGAGAAGGAATCAATACTGAGGAAACCCACGAAAGATGCTCCATGCTGCTTTGTGATGACCCGCTGGAGATTCGACTAGCATGTGGTTCGTATGCCCTGTGTCGTGAGGATTATGAAGGGATAGTCCATGCGAGTTTTTGCTTTCATACCTACGATGACAGTCAGTACTGTACTCGTGTACGGCACCCTGACATGTCATGTCCAATTTATAGACAGGGGCTGGAACGGCAATGCCTCTATTATTGCGGTCGACGTGCCTCCGTGTTCCTAGCGTGTAGGAGCCACGTAGCCTGTGACATTTGTCTGCGCCGCGCCATTTGATGCAGCTACTGCTACTGCGAAAATTGGATGCGGTGCTTCCACAGTCCACACCCGAACCAGTCCTGTCGGGTCTGTAGGGGTGGCCACTTACCATAGGCAATAGCTGCTCCACAACTCAAAATCTTAAGCAACCCAAACACAAACTGACCTCATGTGCCATTCTAGAGTAGTCTGTTCCAGCGGTGAGTATTTGGAATTCTGCGAAGTTTGTCATATATCTCTCTCCTGCCCTTGCATGTCATACTCTATCCTGCCCTTCGCACTCCACTTTCCCCTACCCCACACTCCTATAGAACTCCGCCTCCTATCCCTTTCCCTCCACCCTCCCCTTTTGTGCTACCAGATACTTTGCTTCTCTATGTCAAGGGACGCTGGACCTGCTTTCCAGCAGGTGATGTCCCCCACCAATAGATGGGGCCTTCCCTGCAACGCTAGCAGTGGCTGCTTCTACCAGCACTGCTTGCGAGTGCAAGGACTGTTTAAAAAAAAAGACGAAGTATAAGCTGAAGATCTGAAGTGAAAGGAACAGGAGTATGGAGACGAACGACAGACACAAAGACTAAGTATAAGCTGAAGATCTGAAGTGAAATGAACAGGAGTATGTAGATGTGAAATGAACAGGAGCATACCTTCCCTTTTATGCTGCCTCCTGTTATATTGTGCAAATGGTCCGTTAAGGCACACAGGCTGAGTGTCTTTTCAACGGGGAGGGGTGCCCAGTTAAACTGCTCTTGAAAGCCGTTAAATCCCCCAGACCCCTGTTGAATGAAAAACTGGGGCACTCCTGCCTTTTTTTTTTCAACGGTTTGCGGGGGTTCGGACACGTGGCCCAACACCCCTGCACCATTAAACTGGGAAAAAAGAAAGTTCACCCCCCCC